AGAGAATTCAACAGTAATACAATAATAGTGGGGCACTTACACCAATGGGCGGATCATCCAGACAGAAAATCAATAAGGAAACACAAGCGTTAAATAATACATTAGATCAAATAGACTTCATTGATATTTATAGGACATTCTATCTGAAAGCAGCAGAATACAGTTTCTCCTCAAGTGGACACAGAACATTCTCCAAGATAAATCACATCTTGGGTCCCAAGCAAGTTTTAGTAAATTTAAGATAATTGAAATTGTATCAAGCATCTTTTCTGATCACAAAGCTAAGAGATTAAAAATCAGTTGGGGGGGGGCGAATGTAAGAAAACACAAACACATGAAGGCTAAACAGTATGTTACTAAACAAACAGTGGGTCAATGAGGAAATTTTTAAAAATCTAAGGATTAATGACAGCAAATATACAATATCACAAACATGTAAGACACAGTAAATACAGTTCTAAGAAGGGAAGTTTTAGGAATACAATCTTACCTCAAAAAATAAGAAAAATCTCAAGTAAATATCCTAAACTTAACCTGAAGAAACTAAAGAAGAATAAATAAAACCAAAGTTAGCAGAAGGAAGTCATAATGATCAAAGCAGTAATAAGTGAAACAGAGACAAAGAAAATAGTAGCAAAGTTCAATGAAACTAATATCTGGTTCTTTGAGAAAATAAGTACAATTAGCAAAACTTTAGCCAAGCTCATCAAACAAAAAAGGGACAAGGCTCAAATCAATAAAATGAGAAATGAGAAAGAAGTTACAATGCACAATACAGAAATACAAAAGAAACTAAAAGAGTACTAAAAACAACTGTTCATCAATAAAAGACAATTGCATGACATGGAAGAAATGGACAAAGTCTTAGAATACAATCTCCCAAGACTGAATCAGGAAAAAAAAAAAAGAAAATATAAACAAACCAATCATAAGTACTGAAATTGAAACTGTGATTAAAAATCCTCCAACAAACAAAAGTCCAGAACCTGGTGACTTCACAGGCAAATTCTATCAAAATTTAAAGAATTAACATCTATATTTCTGAAACCTTTCCAAAAATTGCAGAGAAAAGAATATTCTGAAGCTCATTATATGAGATGACCATAACCCTGATACCAACATCAGACAAAGATATCACAAAAATAGAATATTACAGGCCAATATCACTGATTAAGATAGGTGCCAAAATCTTCAACAAAACACTAGCAATCTGAACCCAAGAATACATAAAAAGGATTGTACAACATAGTCAAGTGGGATTTATTCCACAGATGCAAGGATTGTCCAATATACACAAATCAATCAATATGATACACAACATTAGCCAAGTGAAAGTCTCTCAGTCGTGTCTGACTCTTTGCAACTCCATGGACTCTACAGTTCATGGAATTCTCCAGGACAGAATTCTGGAGTGGTTAGCCTTTCCCTTATCCAGGGGATCTTCCCAGACCCAGGATAGAACCCGGGTCTCTTGCATTGCACCTGGATTCTTTACCATCTGAGCCACAAAGGAAGCCCAAGAATACTGGAGTGGGTAGCCTATCCCTTCTCCAGCGGATCTTCCCGACCCAGTAACTGAACTGGGGTGTCCTGCATTGCAGTTGGTTTCTTTACTAACTGAGCTATCAGGGAAACACATTAACAAACGCAGTAGTAAAGCCATATGATCATATCAATTGATCCAGGAAAATCTTTTGACAAAATTCAACATACATTTATGATTAAAAAAAAAAATAAAAGCTCTGTAGAAAGTGTGCCTAAAGGAAAGTTACCTCAACAAAATAAAGGCCATATATGACTAACATGTAGCAAACATTCTCAATGATGAAAAACAAAGCATTTCTTCTAAGACCAGAAACACGAAAAGGATGTTCCCTCTTGCCACTCTTATTCAACATAGTTTTGGAGAGAGAGTTCTTGGTGCCTCTAGCCCTTTTTTGATGCCACACCTAAGCATTGTATTTTAATGCAATTAAAAATACAATAATTTTATGAAGATTTTTTTTAGATTAAATGTTTAATGGGTATTACTTCTACAAAGCAATTTTTGAAAGTAATTTGGATATAAATATAAGAATTGTCATAATTATTTGAAACACAATTGCTTTAATGGTTTATTTTATCTAAAGCTAGGGAAAAGGTGTCACTCAGTTATAACCTAGAATGATGTCAATAAAAAATTAGTTTGCTGGAACATTATAAAGTATACTCCTAAACCTTTTACTGGATTATTAAAGCTTTAACTGTTAAGGTAAGAATCATTATTTAGGATTTCATTTAGGGTTATTTTTATTATTTAGGATTATTAGAGGAAACATTATTTAGGTTTAATATTAGAATATATGCTCTTATTTCCAGGTTTAATTAAGACAATGTTCAAAATCATTAATTATAAGAAAATATAGTCCCAAGACATGCTGTGAATCAAACCTATTATTTTGAATATCTTTTCCTTTATTCTCTGTCATGTTATTTGTAACTTGTTTATATGCTTCAGATTTAAAATATATATATAAGAACAGCAAAACATGTTAAATTACATGAATGACTTAAAACCTGGGCTCAAAGCTGACTGATGCTTTAACAGTAGCATATGATTAATTTTAGTTCATTATTTAAAGAAAATACTGCAATAGGATTTCCTGTTAATAATGCTAGGTTTAAAGCAAGATAGCAATTAAATACCCCCTTTTATCATTTGTACTTTTTCTTTAGAGCTCACTTAAGTTGAGACTAACACTATTAATTGCCTTTCCTACATTTTACAAGTATACTTTACGGTGATCATGGATTTTAAAATAATATCCCTGAAATAAATATTATCTGACCTTCTGTGGAATCTGGGCAAGGGCTGATGCGATCATATTAGACTTTTCTTCTGAGAGGTTTTTGATCATTGACCCCAGAGTAAACACCACGACTCCATCTTTTCCAGAGCTTTGAACAAACTCTTCGAGCTCCTGTGAAGAAAACAGTCTTTGAAATATAAAAATTTACAGTTATAATAGATGTCACACCCTTTTTTCAATGTGTCTGAATTATTAGAAAAATTATGTATTTTCATTATGTTAACCATTTCATTGTATAATAGGAAGAAAGAAAGTGAAGTCTCTCAGTCATGTCCGACTCTTTGCAACCCCATGGACTAATGTAGCCCACCAGGCTCCTCCATCCATGGGATGCTCCAGGCAAGAATACTGGAGTGTGTTGCCATTTCTTTCTCCAGGGGATCTTCCCGACCCAGGGATCGAACCCAGGTCTCCCACATTGCAGGCAGACGCTTTAACCTCTGAGCCACCAGGGAAGTCCCAGTGTATAATAGATGACCTGAAATCCTTATTGGGTGAATTAAAATTATTGTTACTAAAGGCTCATTTAGTAAAGCATATTTGAGGTATGTGTGTGTCTTTGTGCTTGTGCATTTGTGTTTACAAATTATTGACTGCCTGGTATCTTTTGCCATTTGCTGAGCTCTTTACATGTATCAGTTAACTTAGATATATGGTGATTTTATGAGATATGTATACATTTACAGATGGGAAATCTATCTCAGTAAGGTTAAGTAATTTGTACAAGTCTACACAGCAGTAGCTGGCAGAGCAAATTTCTACCTTTAAGTTAAATAGTTCAGGTGATGTGCTGGATATTTAGCCTTAGATGCTAATAAGATTATCTTTCACTTTTCTGATGAATCACAGTCAATACAATGATACAATTTTGGTATATTTACTTTTCTCTGTTTTCTAAATTTCTATTTTCTTTTATTTTGATTATATATATATTTTTTTCATATAAGTTTCCACATACATGATTAGGAATGAGGTAGAAAAGATAAGAAAAAAATGTGTGAGGTTTGAAATGGAAAGACAGGGAAGAAATTTATATTAAGGGATTTCTCACATGGTTATGGAAGCTGGCAGGCAAGTTTAACCTGCAGAGCAGCACATTAGGCTGGAGACTCAGAGAAGAGCCACTGCTGTATTTTAAGTCTGAAGGCGGCCTACAGGTAGAATTCAATCTTTTGTTCTTGTCACATCTTCAACTAATTGGATGAGGCTTACCCACATAATGAAGAGTAATTTGTTTACTTAGGGTCCACATACTCAAAAGTTGATTTCATCTAAAAAGAGCTTCTCAGTAACTTCTAGAAAAATGTTTGTCTAAGTAGCTGGGTACCTAGCCAGGCAGGTTAACAGATAAAATTAGCCATTACACTATGTTTACAGATGATTTGACTTAAGATATAATGTTATCTTTATGTTCAATTATAGCATAGTATTGGAGAAGGAAATGGCAATCCATTCCAGTATTCTTGCCTAGAGAATCCCTTGGACAGGGGAGGTTGGTGGGCTGCTGTCCATAGGGTTGCACAGAATCAGACACGACTGAAGCGACTTAGCATGCATGCATGCATTGGAGAAGGGAATGGCAACCCACTCCAGTGTTCTTGCCTGGAGAATCCCAGGGACGGGGGAGCCTGGTGGGCTGCTGTCTATGGGGTCGCGCAGAGTTAGACACGACTTAAGCGACTTAGGAAGAAAAAAAAAGCATAGTATTCATAAGATGCTAGGAAATATTTTATATAATACATTTTCATGTGTAATGAATAGTCTTTGAACAAGAAAAGAAAATATTGAGGACTACTTCAATCAGATAGTAATACATAATCCAAAATAAAGGCTACTCACCTTCTTACTGTAGTGTATAGTCTAAGAAAATAATGACCATGGAATTCTATGTCTGTTTTCTCTGTTTGGGGATCAAATATTGTTAACCATAAACCAGAAATCATTTTAAGAGATAAATACTCATAGCTGGGTCAGAAAGGTCCCCTGGAGAAGGGAATGGAAATTCCACTCCAGTATTCTTGCCTGGAAAATTCCATGGACAGAAGACCCTGGTGGGTTACAGTTCATGGGGTGGCAAAGAGTCAGATACAACTGAGTGACTAACACTTCACACTTCATTCATGTAGGAAAATAATGAGCACATTTAATTACCTTAGGCAGTGGCTTTGCAGGCTTGCAGTGCAGTCCTCCAACAAACTCAGTATTAGGTAAGTAAGGTTGAGGAAATTCAAAATCCCAGTAACTTCGAAACAACCACATATCAGCTTTCCCCATTATCTCACATATTGTGGTAGGTTTTCCTGAATAAAAATGAAGGATAATAGAGGGAAAGGAATCTGATATGTTAAAAGAGAGATATATCTTCACCTAATTTTCTAAGTAAATTCTTAAAGACCAGTACTGAGCCTATGCAATCCAGGTTAAATCAATTGGCCTTTTACCCTGAAGAATACACATAGTCAAAATATGAAAAAGTAGGCACAGATTTAAGTATGGAATAAAACCAAAAGCCTGTTGCTTTCTCTCTGTCAATGGAGTCTTTCATATTGAGCTAAGCCTAAACCCACTCATGTGCTTCTACTAAGTACAAGAAACAGGCAGCAATCCTCAGCCTTCTGTGGTAGAGTCGCACCTTCTTTTCTGGAATTCCAATTCATCTCATCCTCATTGTTCCAAAAGTCTCTGATTATGTTGAAAAACAACTTGTGCTTTACCCATCTCTTTTCTACTGTTTCCAAGTGTGCTATTACAACTAATTACGTCCTGAGTGCTTTTAACACAATTCTTAAAGTGACTGTCTCCTTTGCTATCATTAATGAGAGTTCTTATTTTACAAGATTTTTTCCTCATTGGTGAAGATATTGCACTGCAAAATAATCTGGTGGTGAAATAGTTTCTATTTTATAACAAAGCTTACCCAGCTTTTGGTGTCTTTTTGAAATATGTGCTCCATGTCACTGATTGGAGGAAACCATAGCTATCTGGTTTCTCACCACCTGACTTTTTGAATATTCTCCTTGATGTTCTAAGTGTGCTAAAGTTTTGATTAGAAAATATAAGGGATTTGAACTCCTAGGAACATGCAGCTGCATAAGAGATCAAGGCAAATCTCAGTAAATGAGAGGTTTTATTCTGGTAACAACAATATGCAGTTTCATACTCAGCACATATCTTTAGGAAAATGTACATAGGTTTTACTTTATCATTTTTTTAAATTTACTTTTGAGCTAAAATACATTGAAGTTAAATGTTAACTGGGAATATTTCTGTCTAGTAGAAAATACCATCTCCCAAATTTCAATTTTATTGCTCTATAGGATATTTTTTGACCATTGTTTTGTCTAACCTAGGACTTTTATTCTAAAATTCCTTTATCCCCTTTTTATAAGATTTATAAATAGCTTCTCAATTTTTTGTAATGAATGCTGGCTTTCTTGGTTTTTTTTCTCATCAATTATTTGAACATATCTATGACATGTTTTAAAGAATAATTTTATAAATTATGTGTTATATTTTTAAAATTTGAAAAACATTCTTGCAATGCATAACATAATGAAGCTTTTAAATTCTGAATAGCTAAATTATATCTATATCTTAGAACATTTTAACATTTATGAGAGTAAAAGAAATATGTTTCTTCTATTTGTCAAGTTTTTACTCTTCTTCTCAGATTATTGATATATTCCACCAAAAAATATTCTAAGTTGCTAATAACTATGGAAGAATCAGGGGCAGAGTAATACCCTATCACTAAGACTTCACTCAAAAAGATGTTCCTAAACTGAGTGTCAGACTGCTGGGACCAGAAGTAAACAAACAAGTTCAACCAAGTCATAGATCAATCAAGGCTTAATCCATGATCAGAAAATGTAACCTAGATGAGATTTTAAGTTATTTTTTTCTTAGTGTTGCCTTTTGTAGCTTGAACTCTCAACATGGATGTGTGATGGTTTCTGCCCACATCTTATAGGGCCATGTCTAGAGATATAAGCACCTGTTTCTGTTACAAAATGCCCAGAAGAAGCTTCAGTACAACATGTCAACCTTGATTAGGTCATATGACTTTTTTTTTTAACATATTGCATATTGCCAGGCAGCAGAGTTCATTAGAAGCACTCATGTTGTTTGTGAGATGTTGAAATATTTCTCAGAGGAAATATTGATTAGATACTCAAAAAAGGAAGTGACTATATAAAATAAGAGATTATAACTATAATTTTTTGACATTTTTAGGAATAAATGCAATTTTTAGTAATGATAGGGTATAAGAGATACATCTGTTAAAATTAGTAACAAGGAAAATAATAAAAGTTCATATGAAAATGGAAAAGTTCCAAGTGGACAAATCATTCCTGAGAAAGAAAAACAAAGCTGTAAGGCATCACACACTTTAATTTTAAAGAATATTATAAAGCCATAGTAATCAAAACAATACATAGGTTTAAAAACAGTCACCAGGTCCGTTGGAACAGAAGCAAAAGCCCAAAGATAAACTCATGCATATTTAGTCAATTAGTATTTCACAAGAGAGCCAAAAATATTCAATGAACTTACTCCACTACAAAATTATATTAAAATGGATCAGGCTTAAATATAAGACCTAAAACCATAAAATTCCTCAAAGAAAACAATGGGAAATAACTCTTGACATTCATCATGGCAGTGAATTTAAATATGACACCTAAAAAAATAAAAAAATAAATATGACACCTAAAGTATAAGCAACAAAATTATAAATGAACAAGTGGAACTGCTTACAACTAGAAGTTACTGCACACTGCACAGAAAAAAAGAAAAATGATCAACAAAAGAAGAAGGCAGCCTATGAATAGAGAAAAATTTTGCAAAGCATAAGTTTGTGTATGTGTTGCTATTGTTGTTCAGTCACTCACTCATGTATGGCTCTTGGCGACACCATCAACTGCAGCACACCAGGCTTCCCAGTCCTTCACCATCTCCCGGAACTGACTCAAACTCATGTCCACTGAATTTGGTTGGTGATACCATCCAACCATCTCATCTTCTGTGGTTCCCATTTCCTCCTGCCTTCAATCTTTCCCAGCATCAGAGTCTTTTCTAAGGAGTTGGCTCTTCACATTTAGGTGGCCAAAGCATTGGGACTTCAGTTTCAGCATCAGTCCTTTCAATGAATATTCAGGATTGATTTCCTTTAGGATTGATGGGTTGAATCTCCTTGCAGTCCAAGGGACACTCAAGAGCCTTCTCCAGCACCACAGTTCAAAAGCATCAATTCTTCGGCACTCAGCCTCCTTTATGGTCCAACTCTTGCATCCATACATAGCTACTGGAAAACCATAAATTGACTATATGGACCTTTGTTGCCAAAGCAATGTCTCTGCTTTTTAATATGCTGCCTAGGTTGGTCATAGCTTTTCTTTTAATTTCATGGCTGCTGTCACCATCTGCAGTGATTTTGGAGCCCAAGAAAATATGGTCTCTTACTGTTTTCATTTTTTGCCCATCTATTTCCATGAAGTGATGGGACCGAATGCCATGATCTTTGTTTTTGAATGTTGAATTTTAAGCCAGTCTTTTGATTCTCCTCTCTCACCTTCAACAAGTGACTCTTTAGTTCCTCTTTGATTTCTGCCATAAGGGTGTTGTCATCTTCATTTCTGAGGTTATTGACATTTCTCCGAGAAGTCTTGATTCCAGCTTGTGTTTCATCCCGACTGTTATTTCACATGATGTACTCTGCATATAAGTTAATTAAGCAAGGTGACAATATACAGCCTTGATGGACTCCTTTCCCAATTTGGAACCAGTCTGTTGTTCTATGTCCAGTTCTAACTGTTGCTTCTTGACCTGCATGCAAGATTCTCAGGAGGTAGGTAAGATGGACTAGTGTTCGCTTTCTTGAAGAATTTTCCAATTTGTTGTGATCCACACAGTCAAAGGCTTTGGTGTAGTCAATAAAACAGATGTAGATGTTTTTCTGGAATTCTCTTAATTTTCTAGGATCTAGCAGATTTTAACAATTTCTGCTGGGTCTCTGGTTCCTCTTCCTTTTCTAAATCCAGCTTGAACATCTGGAAGTTATTGGTTCATTACTGTTGAAGTCTAGCTTGGAGAATTTTCAGCATTACTGTACTAGCCTGTGAAATGAGTGGAAGTGAGCAGTATTTTGAGCATTCTTTGGCATTGCCTTTCTTTGGGTTTTGAATGAAAACTGACCTTTTCCAGTCCTGTGGCCACTGCTGAGTTTTCCAAATTTGCAGGCATATTGAGTACAGCACTTTCACTGCATCATCTTTTAGAGTTTAAACTAGCTCAACTGGAATTCCATCACTCCACTAGCTTTGCCAATAGTGATGCTTCCTAAGGCCTACTTGACTTTTCATTTCAGTATGTCTGGCTGTCGGTGAGTGATCACACCATAGAGGTTATCTAGGTCATGGAGATCTTTTTTGTATAGTTCCTTTGTGTATCTTTGCCACCTCTTCCTAATATCTTCTGCTACTGTTAGGTCCATACAATTTCTGTCCTTTTTTGTGCCCATCTTTGCATGAAACATCCCCTTGGTATCTCTAATTTTCTTGAAGAGATCTCTAGCCATTCCCATTCTATTGTTGTCCTCTATTTCTTTGTGCAGATCACTTAGTAGGAGTTTCTTATCTTTTACTTATATTCCCTAGAACTCTGTATTCAGATAGGTATGTCTTTCATTCTCTCCTTTGCCTTTTGCTTTTCTTTTTTCACCTAGGTGTTACCATCTAAAATATAGGGAGAACTCACAAAATTCAATAACACAAAAACAAATAATTCCTTAAAAAATTAGCTGAAGACCTGAATAAACATTTTTTGAGGAAAAGATTCAAATAATTAATAAGAATATGAAATGAAGCTCAACGTTACTAGTTACCAAGAAAATTCAAAGCAAAGCTACAAGGAAGTAACATCTTGTACCTGTTATGATGATGATCATCAAGATGATAAGAGACAACAAATGTTGGTGAGTAGGTAGTGGAAAGAGACAACTTTACACTGTTAATGCAAATGTAAATCAGTATAGCCAATATGGAAAATGTGATGGTGATTCCTCATAATTTAAAAATAAAGCTATCATATGATCCAAAATTTCAACTTCTGGATATAATATTTAAAAAAGAATAAAGCAAAACAAACAAGCAAACAAACAAAAACAAACAGCTGCACTCTCAGGCTCATTGAAGCATTATTTACAAATTTACAATAGCCAAAAACATGGAAACAAATTAGGTGTTTATAAATAGGTGAATGGAAAAAGAAAACGTAATGAGAGATGGAGTGGAATATTATTGTCATGAGTAACAAGGAAAACTTGCCATTTACCTCAACATGGATGGACCTTGAGGATATTATGTTAAGTGAAGTAAGACAGGGAAATAGATCACTTATATGTGGAATCTAAAGAGAAAACAAAACAAAAACTAAAACAAGCTACAGACACTGAGAAGATTGGTGGTTGCCAGATGCTAGGGTTGGAGCATGGTCACAACAGGTAGGTGAAGGTGGTCAAATGGTACAAAGTTCCAGTTCTAAAGTAAGTAATTAGGGAGTGTAATTTACAGGCTGGTGACTCTAGTCACTAATACCGTATTATGTTTGAAAGGTACTAAGAAAGTAGATATTAATAGTTCTCAAGTAAAAACCATTTGTATTTATGTGAAGTGATGGATATTATCTAGAGTTATTATGGTGATTATTTCACAATATGTACAAATGTCTAATCATTTTGTTGTATACCTCTGTTGAAACAAAATTATTTTAAAGCAGGACAGAAAATTTTTGCATAAAAATTTCTCTGCCAGTTGAGGCAGTCCCCATTTTAGTCTGCAATGTGCTTCTGCATTAAACATTAACTAGATCCCCTTAGAAGACACGGGAAAGCTTGCTTACAAAAAAGAAACATTTTCCTCCTTGCACTAGCAAGGTAACTCCTTAGGAGGTAACATTCCTTCCTTAACCTCTTCAGTGGTCACAATGACCCACTACTCATTTTTTAAGACTACATAAACTGGCAATCAAATGTTGTGATGTATAACCCTTTCTCTCAAAAACTTATATGACACTTCTTTAACTTCTAATGGGCAGAACATTCCTCAGAGATTCCTGACAGATTTTCTCCAGGGTTATAATCCTCAGATTGGCTCAAATGAAGTTGTCCATTTCTTTCATAGGTTGAATATTGATTAACAGTTTTGTCACCAACTGCAACTAATACAATGTTACATGCTAATAATACCTTCAAAAAAAAATCTATCTGAAAGTGAAAGTCTCTCAGTCGTGTCCAAATCTTTGCGACCCCATGGACTATACAGTCCATGGAATTCTCCAGGCCAGAATACTGGAGTGGGTATCCTGTCCCTTCTCCAGGGGATCTCAAAAAATCTAGCTAAAGAATATAAGAAAGATTCTGCTTTCTCAAGGGTAATTTAGCCTTATGCAAAACGTTCTTAACATAATCACATAATCACTTTAACATAATAAAAAATAAATTATTCAAAAGGAAAATAGAAGGGGTAAATGGACTTGATAAAATAGAGAAAAATTTTGTGCTTAGTGTCAAAAGTCACTGCTGCTGCTGCTGCTAAGTCGCTTCAGTAGCGTCCAACTCTGTGCGACCCCAGAGATGGCAGCCCACCAGGCTCCCCTGTCCCTGGGATTCTCCAGGCAAGAACACTGGAGTGGGTTGCCATTTCCTTCTCCAAAAGTACTAGTTGACCTCTAATGCAATTTTAAATAGAACAACATGAACAAAACACTGACGTGAATTTAAAAAACAATTAGAAATATGATCCTTCAGAAAAAAAAAAAAGAAAGAAAACTTCCTGTTTTAACACTTTCGGTTCAGTTCAGTTCAGTTCACTAGCTCAATTGTGTCTGACTCTTCCCATGAACCACAGCACACCAGGCCTCCCTGTCCATCACCAGCTCCCGGAGTGCACCCAAACCCTTGTCCTTTGTGTCGGTGATGCCATTCAACCATCTCATCCTCTGTCTTCTCCTTCTCCTCCTGCCCTCAATCTTTCTCAGCATCAGGGTCTTTTCAAATGAGTAAGGTCTCCACATCAAGTGGCCAAAGTATTGGAGTTTCAGCTTCAACATCATTCCCTTCAATGAACACCCGGGTCTAATTTCCTTTAGGATGGACTTTAGGATGGACTCCTTTAGGCTGGATCTCACACTTTAGAAGATAAGAGAAAATGAAACCAAGCTACATTATTTATTTTCTATTTTCATGCTTACAACATTGCAAACCTGGCGACCAAGTAATCATTCCTTCACAAAACACAAATATAAAGCCTCAGAAGGTTCAAATTAATCAGAGAAAGCAGTCCGCATAAAAGCAGAAGTGAAAATCAGAAAACTAATGCAAGATTAGAGAAATCAAGCACACTGTCCGATTTGGGTTCTCCAGACACTCCAAAATATTATGTATGAGTATAGAGAATATTCCTTCTTGGATATATTATCAGTATTTAATCATATAACACAAAGCCATAAAAAAGAGTGTTATTATTTTTTTAAATTCAAAACAGTGTAGCCACAGAAGCTTGGATCTTCTTCAGCTAAAATACCTTTTGTGAGTTTTCATACAGTCAGATAAATAACTACATTTTTCATAGTATATAAGAATAATAACTATATACACATTTCTCTTACCTAAAACTTTGCTGTAATATTAATCCCATTCTGGAAATACATAATATGAATATATCACATCATTCACTGTATACAGTAACCAGTTCTCCAGCCTCTGTATAAAAGTCATGTTGTCTGTCAGTCTTGATGTGATACCAGGAACATATGAAGATGGCATAGGAAGCCAAGCACACAATCTTTCAATGAAATTGCCATAGAAAACCCGAAAAGTGTATATAAATGGAATATTCAGGAGTTCAGCCACCAATTCCCCACAAAATATTAAAGGGTCAGCAATACATACATCGAACTTGGCTACCTGTAGTCTGCTGAGTAACTCCTTGTTTGTGACAGCACTGTCACACACTCTTTTGAATGTTAATAAAAATTTTCTGCCTATGTTTGCCAGTTTTATTTGCATTTCCCACCATGAGAATTTTGACACATTAAAAGAAGCTTCATAGAGAATGGTTTTGAGCTTTTCCATGAAAGTTTCTTTAGTTACCAAAAGCTGGAGGATCTCCACATTATAGGGAACCTTGGTATGGTCAATCAGAAGACTTTGTGAAGGTACCAGGACAGTTATCTCATGCCCACGAAGGTGAAGTTCTTCTAAAATAACTTTTAAATTAATCCAATGACTAAAATCCACAGGCCATACAAGAACTTTGCCCGTCCTTCCAGAGTCAAGGAGACATAGCTGCAGCATGAAAAGCACGCAGAATCCTTTCACGGTCTTCATGGTTACCTCTTGCCTGAATTAAATCTGGGCTTAAATCAAATGCATGAAACTCACAATCCAAAGATCTCTCCTTAACTTTCTCAATCAGTTCATAGTAGGTTGGGCTGAACTTTGACTTTTGTACTTTGCATTATGGATTAAAATGAAAAACAACTTCTTTGATGGGGGAAAAAAAAAAAAAAACCTCTATAAACTCAACCTCGCAGTCAAAAGCATCACTTCTTCATGTTCAGCTTTCTTTATAGTCCAGCTCTCTCACCCATACATGACTACTGGAAAACCCATAGCTTTGACAAGATGGACCTATGTTGGCAAAGTAATGCCTCTGTTTTTTAATATGCTCTCTAGGTTGGTCATAGCTTTTCTTCCAAAGAGTAAGCATCTTTTGGTTCCATGGCTGCAGTCACCAACTGCAGTGATCTTGGAGCCCAGAAAAATACTCTGTCACTGTTTCCATTATCTCCCCATCTATTTGCCATGAAGTGATGGGACAGGATGCCATGATCTTTGTTTTTTGAATGTTGAGTTTTAAGCCAACTTTTTCACTCTCCTCTTTCACTTTCATCAGGAGGCTCTTCAGTTGCTCTTCGCTTTTGGCCATAAAGGTGGTGTCATCTGCATATCTGAGGTTATTAATATTTCTCCCAGAAATCTTGATTCCATCTTGTGCTTCTTCCAGCCTGGCATTTCACATGATGTTCTCTGCATATAAGTTAAATAAGCAGGATGACCGTATATAATCTTCATGTGCTCCTTTCCCAATTTGGAGCCAGTCCATTGTTCCATGTCTGGCTGTAACTGTTATTTCTTGACCTGCATACAGATTTCTCAGGAGGCCAGTAAGGTGGTAAGGTGGTCTGGTGTTTTCCACAGTTTTTTGTGATGCACAAAGTCAAAGGCTTTGGAGTAGTCAGTAAAGCAGATTTTTGGGGGGGAACTGTCCTGCCTTTTCTATGATCCAATGGATGTGAGCAATTTGACCTGTGGTTCCTCTGTGTTTTCTAAATCCATCTTTAACATCAGGAAGCTCTCATTTCATGTACTATTGAAGCCTCACTCAGAGAATGTTGAGCAATACTTTGCAAGCTTGTGAGCTGAGTGCAGTTGTGTGGTGGATTGTACTTTCTATGGCATTGCCTTTCTTGGCGATTGGAATGAAAACTGATCTTTTCCAGTCTGGTGACCACTGCTAAGTTTTCCATATTTGCTGGCATATTGAGTGCCACACATTAACAGCATCATCTTTTAGAATTTGAAGTAGCTCAACTGGAATTCCATCACCTTCACTAGCTTTGTTCATAGTGATGCTTCCTAAGGCCCACTTGACTTCACACTCCAGGTTGTCTGGCTCTAGGTGAGTGATCACACCATCGAGGTTATCTGAATCATTCAGATTTTTTTTTTTTTTTTGTATAGTTCTTCTGCGTATTCTTGCCACTTTTTCTTAATATCTTCTGCTTCTGTTAGGTCCATACCATTTCTGCCCTTTATTGTGCCTATCTTTGCATGAAATATTCCTTTGGTATCTCTAATTTTCTTGAAGAGGTCTCTAGTCTTTCCTCTTCTGTTGTTTTCCTCTATTTCTTTGGATTGTTCACCTAGGAAGGAAAGCTTTCTTTTCTTTCCTTGCTATTCTTTGGAATTCTGCATTCAGTTAGATATATCTTTCCTTTTCTCCTTTGCCTGTCAATTCTTTTTTTCTCAGCTATTCGTAAGGTCTCCTCAGAAAACCATTTTGCTTTTTTGCATTTCCTTTTCTTGGGGATGATATTGATCACTGTCTCCTGTACAATTTCATGAACCTCCATCTAAAGTTCTCCAGACACTCTGTTTATCAGATCTAATCCCATAAATCTATTTGTCACTTCCACTGTATAATAGTAAAGGATTTGTTTTAGGTCATTCCTGAATGGTGTAATGGTTTTCCCTACTTTCTTCAATTTAAGTCTGAATTTGGCAATAAGGAGTGGTGATCTGAGCCACAATCAGCTTCCAGCCTTGTTTGTGCTGATTCTATAGAGTTTCACAATCTTCTGCAGAAAAAAAAAATGTAATCAAACTGATTTTGGTATTGATGATCTAGTGATGTCCATGTGTAGCATTGCTTCTTGTGTTGTTGGAAGAGTGTATATTCTCTTGCAAAACTCTGCTGGCCTTTGCCCTGCTTAATTTTGTACCCCAAGGCTAAACTTGTCTGTTACTCCAGGTATCTCTTGACTTCCTACTTTGCATTCCAACCCCCTATGATGGAAAGGAGATATATATATATATATATATATATAGATAGATAGATAGATAGATAGATAGATAGATAGATAGATAGATATATTTGGTGTTATTTCTAGAAGGTCTTGTTGGTCTTTATGGAACTATTCAACTTAAGCTTCTTTGGCATTAGTGGTTGGGGCATAGACTTGGATTACTGTGATATTGAATGGTTTGCCTTGGAAACGAACAGAGATCATTCTGTCATGTTTGAGATTGCTTCCAAGTATTGCATTTCAGACTATTTTGCTGACAATGAAGGATATTCCATTTTTTTCTAAGTGATTGTTACCCACAATAGGAGATATAATGGTCTTCTGAGTCAAAATCTCCTATTCTAGTCCTTTTAGTTCACAGATTCCAAAAATGTCCATGTTCATTCTTGCCATCTCCTGTTTGATCACTTCCAATTTGCCTTGATTTACGGACCTAACATTTCAGGTTCCTTGCAATATTGTTCCTTACTGCAATATTGTTCTTTTTAGCATCGCAGTTGACTTCCATCACCAGTCACATCCACAGCTGGGCGATGTTTTTGCTTTGGTTCCATCTCTTCATTCTTTCTGGAGTTATTCCTCTACTCTTCTCCAGTAGCATACTGGGCACATATCAACTTGGGGACTTTATCTTTCAGTGTCATATCTTTTTGCTTTTTCATACTGTTCATGGGATTCCTAAGGCAAGAGTACTAAAGTGGTTTTCCATTCCCTTCTCCAGGGGACCATGTTTTGTCAGAACACTCCACCATGACTCATCCATCTTGGGTGTCCCTATATGGCACGGCTCATAGTTTTGTTGAGTTATGAAAGGCTGTGGTCCTTATGATCAGTTTGGTTAGTTTTCTGTGACTGTAGTTTTCATTCTGTCTGTCCTATGATTGGGCTTCCCTGGTGGCTCAGCTGGTAAATAATCTGCCTGCAATGAGGGAGACTTGGGTTTGATCTCTGGGTTGGAAGATACCCTGGAGAAGGGAAAGGCTACCCAATCTGGTATTCTTGCCTAGAGAGTTACATGGACTATATAGTCCTTGGGATAGCAAAGAGTAAGACACAACTGAGTGAGTTTCACTTCATATCAGCTTCCCTTGTGGCTCAGCTGGTAAAGAATCTGCCTGCAGTGCAGGAGAACTGAGTTTAACCCTGTGTTGGATGATCCCCTGGAGAAGCGAAAGGCTACCCACTCCAGTATTCCATCCTGGAGAATTCCATGGATTGTATAGTCTATGGGATCACAAAGAGTCAGACAGGACTGAGTGATTTTCACTTTCACTTGCCCTGTGGTGAATAAGGATAAGAGGCTTATGGAAGCTTATCATTTTTTAGGACTACATAAACTGGAAATATAATGTTCTGATATATAACCTGCTCATGTATAACCCTTTCCCTCAAAAACTTATATGACAGTTCTTTAACTTCTAATGGGCAGACCATTCTTCAGAGTTTCCTGTCAGATTTTCTCCAGGGTTATAATCCTCAGATTGGCACTGATAAAATGTTCCATTTTTTTCCCCCTAGGTTGGCTATTGATTAAATTTTTGTCACCATCTGAAACTAATGCATTATTACATGTTAAGAATACCTCAAAAAATCTATCTAACTAAACAATGCAAGAAAGGTACTACTTTTCAAACGTAATTTACCTCTTATGCAAAATTTCCTTAACACATAAACATAATTTAAAAAATAAATTATTCAAAAGGAAAACAGAAGGGGTAAATGGACTTGCCACAATAGAGACAAACTTTGTGTTTGGGTTCAAAAGTCAACTAGTTGAACTCTAATGCTAGTTTTAATAGAACAACAAGAACAAAACGCTGAGGTGAGTTAGAAAATAAAGAAACAAGGTCCTTAAAAAAAAAAAAAAAAAAACCTTTTTTTTTTTCTTTCACACTTTAGAAGACAAAAGCAGATGAAAGCAAACCACATTACTTGCTTTCTAGTTTTATTCTCACCACATTGCAAACCTGGCCACCAATTAACCATTCCTTCATAAGATACAAATATAAAGCCTTCAGTCAGTTCAGTTCAGTTCAGTTCAGTCGCTCAGTTGTGTCCAACTCTTTGCAACCCAATGGACTGCAGCATGCCAGGCCTCCCTGTCCATCACCACCTCCCAGACTTTTCTCAAAATCATGACAATTGAGTCAGTGATGCCATGCAACAATCTCATCCTCTGTCGTCCCCTTCTCCTCCCACCTTCAATCTTTTCCACCATCAGGTTTTTTTCAAATGAGTCAGTTCTTCATATCAGGTGGCCAAAGTATTGGAGTTTCAGCTTCAACATCAGTCCTTCCAATGAACATTCAGGACTGATTTCCCCAAGGATGGGCTGGTTGGATCTCCTTGCAGTCCAAGAGACTCTCAAGAGACTCCTCCAACACCACAGTTCAAAAGCATCAATTCTTTGGTGCTCAACTTTCTTTATAGTCCAACTCTCACATCCATACATGACTACTGGAAAAACCATAGCTTTGACTAGACAGATCTTGGTTGACAAAGTAATGTCTATGCTTTTTAACATGCTGTCTAGGTTGGTCATAACTTTTCTTCCAAGGAGCAAGTGTCTTTTAATTTCATGGCTACAGTCACCATCTGCAGCGATCTGTCACAGCTTCCATTGCATTAGAAAGAGCAAATTAATCAGAAAGAAGACAGGCTGTGGAAGAGGAGAAACAAAGCACAGAGAAGTAGTCCAAGGTTATGAAAACTAAGCACACTGCCAGATTTGGGTTTTCC